GGTAGAGGACTTGCATCTAGAGCCGAGACATGAACCAGTTCAGGTACAGTAGGCATACAACAGGAAGTGGTAATTGTTCAGCTAAATTGTTATCCATAAGGCTTCGCTCACAACCACAATCGATTAAAGAGCGAAATGGTTAATTCTATGGGAGAAAGCAGAGTAATGTCATGCGGAAGAATCTGTTCTTAAAACTGTCCACTGGCCCCTTCCTTACCAGTGGGCCCTCCCTTTTAGCTACTTAAAACAGGAAGACATCAATTGACCACTCGGTTTTCATCTAACATTGTCATTCCTCTGGGTGTAACCAATCTGCATCGGTTCTTTTAGATCTGACCTGGAAGAGTCAGATATTTGTGAGAGATCTGCAAGATGAGATTGGGAAAGAAGTAAATTATTCTGTTGGTTTGCCTGGGTCCTTTCTCGAATTCTGCCTTCAATGCAGATAGCCAGGGAAATTGGTTAGAGTTTTAGACTCCTCTCTGCACGCTAGTTCATCCTTAATTCTTTCATCAAAGGCGTGAAGAAAAGCTACCTTTAATGCCTCAGAGCTCCAGGCTGAAGAGGATGCTAGAGTTTGAAACTCAATGGCAAAATCTGATACTGGCTGGTTAATCTCTTTTATATTCCACATGTTATGAGAAATGTTGGAAACTGAATCAGTACATGTGAATATCTATTTGAACTCAGAGATAAACAGGTCAAAGGAAATTTAGTATTGAAATTAACCCCCAAATCTTGCTTGAGTCCACTACTGGGATTGACCTCTCAATGATGAAAATAAGGTTTTATCCATAACAAATAAGACCTGGAGGACCGACTGAAAACTAGCTAACATTGTAACAGGAATCCACAACACCTTCCAATTTCACCCCCATAAGGCAGGGGTGTGGGGAAATTGGCTAAATGAAAATGAGAAGTAGTGGGAGGAGTTAGATCAAGAATGGCAGTTGTAGATGGGGAGGTCCCATGGGAGCGGTTCTGTTAAGAAGCTACTGAAACATTTCTGTAAACTGCTCCATCTGCTGATCTGAACATCTTTGCTGTGCAGCCAAAGAGTGGATTAACTGATTGTGGAGATAAAGTAATTCACAATTAGCGCAAAGCCCCATGGGAGATTCTGCTGGGTCAGGCTGACCGAATGATTCTCTCATGTTGGTTTTTAGACTGGAGACAAAGTGATGTTCACTGGTTGTCTGGAACGATGATGGAGTCTACATTAAAGAAACTCACAATAACACAAATTTCAACAGGAAAGCTAGACCTGGTTTAGGCCTTTGGCTGGAACACCATCAGCAGTAATCAGCTGGCCAAAAGAGATAATCCATTGCCTCGTTATGTACACACTAGTCATCTTGATTGAGAAATGTTCTAAGGTGTGCAGCAACAGGGGTCGGTCCAGCCACCACAAAGATCCTCTCTGTGACAGGAAACTCATTCACACCAGAGACAGGATACATGGAGTCCTCTAAAAACTTCCCTAGCCCCATAACCCTCTTTAAACCAAGTCTAGTCAAGTATTAAAATAACCAATGCCAAAAACTTGTACAAAATGCTTTACTAGAACTTTAAGACTACTTTGCACATCACTAAACTGGCGCATTTATAAAATTAAGGTGAAGGCTTAAAATGTTTTAAATTTCTGACATTATGTGCTAAAGTGGTAAGCTAATTCTTTTCTTCTTTTCAGTTGGAACACATGACACCGATATTGGTTGCAAATCTGAAGTGACCCCTTTGCATCTATCTGCCCGAGCTCTAGACAGTGACCTGATGAGTCGACTCGAGTCACAGGGTTGTAAACTTTAAACAAGACTTCTTTAAAAGAAAATTGAGTTTGTACTAATACTTATCAGCAGTGCTTAATTTTCTTACATTTTTTTATTTTCAGGGATGGCTTATTATAACCTTTTCATGGCTTAAAATATTGGACTTGGGCTTGACTTGTTTGTCTTGAATTGAACCATGATTTTGAGAACTTGAGACTTACTGCGGTTTAGAATGTAATGAATGATCACCTAGCAGGTCAGTCAACTTCTTATTCAGTCTAAACAGCAACTTTTTGGATGAAATGGGACCAAACAGACTGAAAGTAGAACCATTGTTGATGATTTTTATACATAATCACTTACTGAGTTCATAGTAAATAATCTGCCCCGTCATATGCGCACAAAAATGAAGCTTAAGCATAAATTCAATCTGGAAGACTATGATGAGCCTCACCTGAATCACCTGCTGGAGCCCTACCTCCAAACCTCAGCCAATTAGCTTCGGGACCACACACCTCCCGGAGGTAATCGATTTGCAATATCTCTGTCTTCAAGCATCATTCCTGACATCCTTCCTGCTCACCATCGATATCTCTACCCACCTCCAACCCTTCTGCTCCCCAAGAAGTGAATCTCGGGCACAGGCTCCATCCCATTCATCCTGGGCTTATTCCACCATCGATCTCCAGACACCTGGGGAAGTCTTATCCTCTCTCTCCTAAATTCACCGATTTGATCATCCATCAGCTTTTAACACAAAGTCTTCATCCAATGTCCGAGTGCTGAAGAACTTATATATTATTCATGTCAATAAATGCTTCTAATTACAACTTTTGTCTCTGTGAGTCTTTCAGAAGATGCAAATATACACATCTTCATATGCCTAGTGTTTAAAAAGATCTTCAGCTGTTAACTGAATTTGCTTTTGTATTTTTTTCTAGAAGGCTGTAGTCCTAATTTAACAAGCATCATTCTGTATGTGAGTCATTAAATGACGTCTCTAAGGTTGAAGGACTTTGGATACAGTACAGCAGTCTGAGGTTACTTTCCTACCCTGGATAGCATTCTTACTGTTGACACTGCAAAATATGAAGGAGGAGCTAGGAACAGGAAGTAGGAAAATAGGGATATATTCAGAATTGGCCAATAAATCTTGCCTTCAGGAAGTTGAGCTCAAAAAGAGAGAGGTTAGTGGTCTTCAAAATAAAAGCAAAAAAAAAAAGAAGCAAACTTCCGGTTACTCAGCCTTAACATGTGATATAACTTAGTGACAGAGATGCTTTACAGAACCCAAACAGAACTGGATACAGTTGGTGGCACGGTCACAGAAAAGTTGGCATGTGCCTTTCTGCTTATTTTACACATGGAAATAAATGTCCACCTGGCTTGAAGACCAGCTTTGCATTATTCAGTTTGCATTTTGTTTTACAAAAGTAAACCTTTGGAAGATCAGGCCATAATTGGGATGATGTGAAATGTTTATTAAAACCCTTCCCATTATAGGAAGCATTTATCTACAAAATGTAATAAAATACTTATCTACAATAAAGAAATAAACCAGTATGTTATGACTTAAGTTCAACAGTACAAAGTTATCTTTCAATAGTCACGTCACGGAAGAAAGAGTAGATAACATGGCAATTAATGGATACAATGTCTGGTGGAATAAGGACATGTTTTATAGATTTTCGAAAGGGCAAATGACATGGGATTTAAATAAGAACTGATAAACTGAACAAATATGACCACCTTGTCTACTTTTTACATGTCATATATGAAAGTAAGTCAAGAATGGTTTTATAATTTTGAGTATACCAATGGTGCAATCAACAAAACTAGGCAAAACAAACAACACTCCAGCAAGTAATACAGTAAATACTGTAATTAGTCTTTCAGCATCTTTTTGTCTGAAATATTAAAATGCTGCATGATAGAATAACCATGAACCATGAACCACGATAAAGAAATTATGAAAATTACACTGACATATTAAGATATGTGCAGACTATTGCATATCATATTTACAATTTATTTACAATGTAATGGCAAAGCAAGATAGATAAGACAGATAGCATAAGTAAATAATGTTATTTTCTATAGACTAAAGTAAATTACATAATACAGGGCATGGTGGGATTTAGGCTGAAACGGGGAGAAAAATATGGCTTGGGGTGAATTTTTTGCTGTAATACAATATAAAGCATTAATTAGATTAACCAATAAAGCAATCAACATGACAATCAGTAGCTGCAAAAACAGTTCCTGTGCTATCTAAAACTTCTTCCTGCCCAGGATTATCTACAAAGATAAACCTTTTGCTTGTATGGAGGGATGCACAGGAACACACACGTGGGAAGCTAGACACACACACACACACACACACACACACACACACACACACACACACACACACACACACACACACCCACACACACACACACACATCTACTCTCACACATACAGTGCAATAGTTGTTCCCATATGTTAGAGGGAGGTTGAAGGAAGAGAGGGTTGGATCGAGTGACTTGTAGCCTTACCAGACCCCGTCACACGGCACACAATTTTTTTTTTTAGGATCACTCTGAAGGTGAAGAATTTCTCAAATCAAGTAAAGGGTAAGAACCACACGGATCAACCCTAGGACCTCCCCAGACATCTTTTGCATGAAGGTGGAGTCATTAGAAAGAGGAGAGGAAGCGAGATGGGGAAAAAAAACAAAAGGAGCTGGACAACTGAAGAGAACAGATGGATTGTCTGTCATACATCTGGATATTTAGGTCCTGAATCCTTTGCTTCGCATTGTAATATCTGAACAAAGGTCCAGAGGGAACATCAAGTTTAGTCTTTTTCAAAAGTGAGGTGAACTATTTTCCTCTTTTTTAAGTTTTGGTAAACTTTTTTTATATGGATTGGAATTTTTTTCTTTCATCTTTTTCAACCTTGAATTGCCTGGAAGTATGTGGATTTCTCTAATGCAACTAAGACTATTGATTGGAAAATCATAAAAAAATCCAGAGAGAACTGGCAAACACAAGGAAAACTCTGGGTTGTAAGAGAAATCTTTGACTTTGCTTTATCATATAAAAGGTTTCTAATAATCAGTCTTTCATTTTCAATTTGGAAACATCCTCCTCAAAGAAAGGCTCAATGTGTTTTTTCAGATTTGCATTATTAAATTAATATTTCATCCAGATATAATAAAACTTCATGCAGGTGGTGAAAAGTTGTGGATTGTGGAGGGCTCTCTCCCTGCCCTCGTAGTTTATCCTCGCCCCCAGCAGCATGTCCCAGGCTCTGAGGCTGCCTCTAGTCCTCCTCACAGCACACTACCATGATCAGATGGGCTGCTGGAGGGAGTAAGGCTGCTTTTGCCTCGTTCTGCTCCTGGGCTGTCTTGGTGGCTTGCTCTGTCTTCAGGACCAGCTTCCGACGAAGGTCATCCGGACTGCTTTCTTCCCTGGCTTTCTCAGTGCTGGTTGCTCTGCTGGTATTCTCCCTGTTCTTACCTGAGGCCTCTTGTCGTCAGCTCCACAGAGACAGACCAAGGTCAAAAGTTTCGGAAAAATCTGGGGTACCACTGAACATTTCAGAGAGTGAACTAATCTCTAGACCAAGAGCAAACAGTGGCCCACTGCGTCGGGCTGGAGGACCGCAGGGGAGGCATGTGCGCAGCTACAGTCACTTACAAGGAGACATTCGTAGGAGAAAGTTGTTCTCTTTCCAGAAGTTTTTCCTAAGGATCGACAGGAATGGACAAGTCAATGGCACCAAGAGCAAAGATGACCCATTCAGTGAGTAAAATATTTTAACGTGTAAAAATAGATGGAAAGATTGTAAACAAATTTTACATATGGGGTTCTCATCATCTACAATCTATAAACTCAGCATTATTTCTTTTTATTAAAAAACTATTAAATGCCTGTCTTCTAGTGGTAGAATTTTCTTAAACAAAGAAAGTATTCTCTCAATGGAAAAATCTCTAGAAATATTAAATACCTGGGAATGATATATGATTTTTTTTTTCCCAGGATACCTACTGGGTTCTGGCTTGGAGGAAGAATTTCAGATTTGAGTTGTCCTTTTGTTTTAAACCAGACATCTCAGTGATATCTCTCCTGTCCAAACACTCAGCACAATGATGGTAGCTCTCAGTCGGTTTAAAAAGGAGCAGGGGCAGATAACTGGTCCATTATCAGGCAGTCTTCACAGCCCAGGGTAAACAGAGTTGATAAGAGCCGCAGAGGATCAGGGCTGGTGCAGAGTGGGGGAGTTTATGATTGTCAGTCTCATTGATGCTTTTAGGCCCATTTTTTCTACTTCTCTTTCTCTAATCTCCAAATCACACTGACCTTAAACCAGCCAAGGTTGGAGCAAATTGCACACCCTCAGTCACATTTCAAACGTTTGTTTGACTTTTTCCACTCGGGGAAACGTGTCCTTAGAGGTGATTACATGTTGTTTGTTTCACCGGATCTGTCAGTAAAGCGGCATTCTCATTTGTAACCCAGCGTCCTCATCGATCTTTGTGTTTGGGCGCCCATCAAGCACCCACATGTTCCCTGTGGGTGTGTGATCATGCAGTAGAAGACACTGATATTAGCTCACACAAGTTGTTCAATTGTTTATTCAGGAAGTCTCATTCACGGAAGGACCCTGGCCAAGTTCATAAGAAATTAAAATATACACATTAAAGACATTAGGAAATATTAGGATATCAAAGAAAAATAAATCACAAAGTAAAATCTAACCTTGTGTGCCAAGCACTGTTAACAATATTATTCAAAACATTACCTGGCACTGACATTGTCCAATGCATTTTTTCGCTGACTCCTTCATACACAAGTTTGCTATTCACCTTTGCAGCTTACTGTATTTGTTGTATTTTTAGGTCTTATTAAGAGCTGGTACACTGTACAAATTTCATGAGTCCTTGTGCTTTTTGTTTGCAAAACAACAACATTCAAATATGAAATATAGAAAAGAGGTAAATGTCAGAATATGACATTTCAACGCTACATTATAGAAATATTAAAGTATTTAAGCGCTCAAGAAATTATGTAAATTATGTTGTCATAGTCAAGCAAGGACAAATTCAGATTTTGCAGATATAAATCTTTTTGTATACATCTGTCACACTATTGCATATCTTGTTTGCAGTTCAATGGCAAACAAGATATGTTGCATTCTGTCAATAATGCTTTGGCATGGTCTTTCTACATATTTAAACCTGTAGCATATATAACAGGTAAGCCAGACTGTTTCGGATCCTTTAAAACATGATAAAAGTTTTACAACTTGAGCATCAATGCTGTCTCATGTCATATACCACAAATATTTAACAGAGTGATGGCATTTACACAACTGCAACCAAAATATATTAGCCATAAGTAAATTCAAACATCACTTATTCTATTGTTAGACAATGCAAATGCTCTCTGTGGTAGCAGATGTTTTGGGGTGCCAATTGAAAGAGAAACTGATCTTCTTTCAGAATTGTTGGGCTAATATTTACAAGAGTACATAAATGTACGTAGATACTGTATTTGTCACTGATATTTCATTCACTGATAGTCAGAAGATCCTTTAATACCGGAAAACAAATGCAGGACAATCACATTGCAGGAAAGTATACAGCTTTGTCTTTACTGGTGGATGTAATGGTTTCACAAAATGCCCTTTATTGGAAAGATAAAATGTAAATTTTATTAACACCGTTGTTATTTATCAAAATCTTTATTTAAAGTTACAGAGAATGAAAATAATATAATATATAAACATTGATGACAGCTATTAGGAGTTGTAACAGAAAATATAGGTATATATTTTAGGAATAGTTTTTAAATGAGAGCTTTTTCTTTATTTTTTGGCGTATTTTAGGCGTTGATTCGACACGTTACATTACCATGTCATTAGAAAAAAGCTTTATATGACACATGGATACGCCAGGTCTCCCTCGAAAAAGAGATTTTATCTCAAGGGACTTCCTGGTAAAATAAAGGTTAAATAAAATTAAAATGGATACATTTAAACATGTTCTTTATTTTCCCGGTCTAATGATCCCACAGTGAGTAGATATAAAACACTTTGCTTTTCCTCTTGGGAGAGCCTGACCACACATTCAATCAAAGTGACTAAAGGGAAATAGCACAGCGGAAGCAAAATGTCAGGCAAGATGTTTGTTTGGACAAGGTCATGACAGAAGAAACTTTATTGAAGCGATGCCTTTACTGCTACCTTTGTTAGTGGTTTCTTTTAAGTTGTAAAACTGGGCTGCAGCAATGAAGTCTGACTCTGGTTTTTTTTTTTTTTTTTTTTTTTTTGTTTGTTTTGAATTTAGCAAAAACCTTTGTTTAAAGATTTATTACATTTTTTGTCTTTGTTTCTGCTGAGTGAGTTTTTTTTGTTTTTTTTTTAAATCATTTAGACTTCACAGTGGATTGAACCCCAGTGCAGAAGGTGAAAGGGAGATCCTCTAGTGGTACAAGTTCATGAATGAGCTGACTGAACGTCATTGTAGCCACATCAAAGGTGTGCATCTTCAGTATCAATGGTGGTGCCATGAACAAGCTGTGTCCTAAGGGGGTCTGGGGGCACTGTGTGTGGATTATGTGCCCTCCTATCAGGTTCACATGGTAAAGAATACTATACAACAGCAGCTTCAGTATTTTTTCTGGCCCCTAGGGCTAGACATGATCCTAAAACTGATGTCTTTTGTAGAGGAAATGTTAAACAGGGTTTTCCTACCTTTTCTGACTGCAAAAAAAAGATACATTGGTTATATTTAATCCACTTTAAAGGATGTATTGGATGTGCAGATTTTTGGTTTCAAGCGTTGCAGTTGATTCTGCAGAGACGAGTCTCACTCTGTGTTACCGAGCCAGTATCCAACCTCCCACAGATTTATGGGGATGCCAGTGTAAAACTGTCCCACATGGCTTTCCAGCCCGCCAGGGGCATGTGCTGAGGTTACAGAGGCGGTGAGAAGGGGAGGGAGATCACCCTAAAGTCAGCAAAGTAGCTATCTTTATGGTCTAAGTGTTTAATTAAAATATCTATCATTCACAATGACTTCTTTGATATTTATAGTCAACAAGTAAATCTAAGTGAAATATTTCTGAATAAGACTGAGTCTTAATGCCTGGTGGTGAACTGGTTTTGCTCCTCATCCATGATGGTGTGAGAGGCAGAGGCTGTCAAGATGGGTGTTAGTGTGTTGGTGGGCTTTAGGCCATGTGTTTAACGCACTTTGCAACATGGCTCACAAGGTCTTTGTGTGTGTTTTTTTGTGCAGCTTCAAGCTGAATGTGCACATCAGCATCCCAGTGGATATTAAACTTTTTCAATCAAAGGAAATACAGACAATGGTCTCCTGGGTGTCTAAAGAGTGGAATATGAGGCTTTTCATACTAGGCTTTTCATACAACAGACGTTGTTCTTTTCAACTTTTTCTTTTGTCTGTACACATTTTTTTCTGTATTTTCTCATCTGTAGAATTCATGAAAAAACCCAAAGTTGATGATTTTACTCTTGAAATAATAATAATAATAAAAGATTAATAGAAGTTTAAATTAGGCTAGATCTTTCTTGTGTTTAAAATAAGAACATAAGAAACACAAGAAAGTCACTTTTTATTTATTATGGACAGGAACACTATTCTCTAACTATCATATGCTGTAGCTTTAGTAGGGAAAGTTTTTGATGTATATTTTTTTCAACAATATAACAAATATAAATAAACAAAATAAGGTAAAAGCTGTCAAAAAAATGAGTGGCATGACTACCACAACTAGAGATACTATAATGACTTTTCATATGGAGTGCTACGACGGAATCTGATAAAGATTCACTTTACTCAATATGCTGAACTCCATCTGATGGGACCCTGACTTACTTTATTATTAATTCATCAATCCATTTTCTGTCATGCTTATCCCAACTGGGGTCGCTGGTGCCTATCTCCAGCTGTCTACGGGCAAGAGGCAGGGTTCACCCTGGACAGGTCGCCAGTCCATCCCAGGGCAACACAGAGACAAACCATTCACACCTAAGGAGAATTTTAGAGAAGCAAATTAACCTAACAGTCATGTTTTTGGACTGTGGGAGAAAGCCGGAGTACCCGGAAAGAACCCACGCATGCACGGGGAGAACATGCAAACTCCATGCAGACCCCTGGCCAGGAATCAAACCTGGAACCTTTTTGCTGCAAGGCAGCAGTGCTACCTACTGTTCCACTGAGCAGCCCTTATTAATTCAACTAATATTATGTGACCACTGCATACTGTTCATATAGTATAGAAGCCTCTTTCAGAGATGACGAAATTATAATAAAGTAAAAAGAAGAAAAAAAAACAAGTTGATGCAACATAGCAAAAGCAATTTACTAAGCCCCATTGATTTTGTTTCGACATGTTAGAAACAGCATTGCAAGAAATGTTGCAACTTAGACGCAGAATATTGCAGGATTTATGCAACACAGCCTCTGTTTTTACATAAATGTTGTTCATATTATGTCATAAGATTGATATAATATTGACTATAGACTGTGTATAACTGCCCTCTCTTGTATCAAATTGGCTAAACTACCCTAATAGCATACAGTCAAGCTATGCAGAGCTCTGTTAATGATTCGGTATTTGAGTCTAGTGTGTTGAAGCGGAGACGTATCTAAAAGTGGCAGAGTAGCAGCCCATGAGAACAGGGGTTTGAGACTTCTGTTCTAAACATTAGTCCTTGTTTATGCTGTGGAGCTGGAAACAGAAATGGTTGGAACTAATCTCTTTACAGGCCTTTT